GAATGGACTGAGGCAGGTCATTTTCCTGTTTCACCATTGCAAATAGTGCTGCTATGAACATATGTGTACATGAACATACACCTTCTCTTGCTGGGTGAAGCCACTATATTTTGGGGCCCCATAAAGGACTTCCACCTCCAGCACTTTTGTTGCACTGCTGGGTACCTCCACTGATGCCCTTGATTATATCAAGGTTGTTTGGTTTTTATTTTGTGTTTTGTGTTTAGTTCTTTTAGTGTATCGCTTTTTTAAAAATATCTTACTGAATTTTCAAAGGAAGCAGTTTTTTCTTCATTTGTTACCTTCTCACTTCTAGTCTTTAGTGAAGCTGAAGTGACTGGATATAGACCAATACAGCGTTTTACTTAGATTTGTTCCTCTTTTCTAAGGACCAAGATTTTCTTACTTGATCACAATCTTGCTACATACTCTTTGTTCTGTGTTTGGGTGTCTGTGCTCAGTGCAGGAGACAGTAGGAAGAGTCATATCCAACACCTCGTTATATATATCAGATCTCAGTCTGGTTTTTTTTTTTTTTTTTTAATTTTATTTTCTCACTTGGGACTTGAGGCAACCTGGGCCATATATGGGCCACATGGGCTGAGTAGTATTCCAGGGACTATGAGGCTCAGGCTGGTTTATTTGCTTAGTGACTAACAGCAGGTGTGAACTTAGGTGTTGGCTGCAAATAACAGAGGGAAGAACCCAGATTGTACTGGATGAGAGATGTCAGGTATCAGGTTTCATGAGTAGAGCACAAGCCAAAGATAGGAGATAAGAGAGCAAGTTAGAATCTGAGGTCTAGATCCTGTTGGGAAGTGGCAGTGGTTGTCAATGAGCTCATTACCATGCTCTAGCCTCTGAAATGGTCACTTTGCTGACAGGGTCAGCTTGTTGAAGGCACAGGACAGGCATGGACAGTGCCATTTGAAATTCCTCAGGATCAACTGGATGGGACTTTTATTTTCTTATCTAGTTTCTTGTCGTTTATGCCTTCAGTAAGATATAAATGGAAGTGATAGTCAAATGAGACTATGTCAAACTGAGCATCAGTTTGGTGTGCAGCATGCTAAGAGGATACTAGAATAGTACAATTAGATTCAGTATCTTTTAGCTTAGCAAATACCTACCTTAACTATATCATCAATTCTGTCTATACCATGATTTCTTTGAAGGCAGGCCCCATGTCTTATGCAGTCTCCATTATGCTGGTGGACATCCATTGGACACTCAATAATTTCTCATTTAATAACAATATTTGTCTCATTTAAAAGTTCTTAGGCTTTTCTCACAAATTAAAAGTCAAAGCTCCCTGACCTGTATTTTCAGAGCATGCTGCAACCTCCCCAGAATTCACCTATTCTGTTTTATTTCCCATTGCTTCTTTACATACATTTTGTGCTGTGCCAACTTGCCACCTGACACACCCTTTTCTCTTGCTCATGTAGGGGACCAGAATATGCCACCCCAAAACACCCACTTTGGCAAACCACCCTCATTTTCCTCTCTTTTGAGCTGGTGGCAATTGAGAATCAATAGATGCAGAAAGAAGGCTTCCTGGAGCTTTTCTTAGCTGAGTAGAAGCAGCAACTGAAAAATGAAGGCTGTCATAAATCCCTGTCAAAGGAGAGCTTTATGACCATGAAGAAGATGGAAAGCCAAGAAGAACCTGCACAAACAATCCTTATTGCATTACTCTCAGTCATGTATTACTTATCCTTGGTTTGGAGCTCTTCGAAGTCTAAACTTCTTTTCTTTATCACTTCTCTACCAATTACTGTTGTCTTGTTAATATGCTGTATATGTCCAAGTTCTAACCACCCATTTGAGTTATTCTTCTTTACAGTTTATCCAGTATGATGTGCACTCTATATGTTAATAAATTGTTTTTCTTTTGTTATCTGCCTAATTTTACCGGGCCCCCCACCAAAGAACCTAAGAGGCTAAAAAAAGAAAAAGAAAAAAGAATGTGTCACCCCTGCATTCATACTCTTACTCTCTTAAAAAATTATCATTCCTCTCCCCTGCCCCCATCAAAAATCCTACACATTATTAAAATGAAGCAGAACCCTTCTGAAAAATGTTTCCTGAACCCTTCTCTAAATATACTTACCAGAAAAGATCATGCCCTCAGGACTCAGGACCATGCCCTCAGGGGCATGACTATGCGTGGCCATCAATCAAGCACTATCTTGGGATGCCTGTTTTATAGATATTTAGAACTTTTATTCAAATCTCTGGATATTTTGCTCCTCCAACCTGCCTGGTGACATAGTCATTTGCCTCGGCCCGCGAGGCAGTCAACGGGGTCCGCCGATATACCTGTAACGGATGAAGGGGGATGGGACAGGAGGCGCGAAGAATGGCAGCAAGACAAAGGATTCTGATCAAGCTGCAAATTTTATTTCAAAATGGAGGGAGTTATATAGAGGAGGGCAGTGGGGGAAGTGCAGTGGATAGGGGGCTTCAAGGCGTGCTCTAGCCCACGATTGGGCGGGGGGCGCATGGTGGGCGCATGACCAAGGCACTGATTGGTGTGCTACCTGCATGTCCAGGAGGGGAGGTTTTTATGGCTCCTGACTGCAACATCCTGCCATTCAAGGCTTATCTCTCAGGCCTAATTGTACCAGCCTGTGTCAGGCTTATCCCAGCCCCCAACAGTCATTTATAATTTTACCAGGGCTTGCATTTGAAATGTAGTCTTTGACCTTGGTGTACAGGAGAATAAGTTAGTTAGTGACTGCTCTGTACATACATACAACCATGCTGTTATATTCATATTGCGGCATATGTACTTTACTGGGAAAATTATATTCTCTATATTTCAGGGGATTTTTTAAAGGTGTTAGATTTCATGCGTGATGGATCTTAGGGGTCTACTATTAAGGGATTTCAAAGGGACTTGAAGAGTAATTGACTTTGAAGAGTAAAAAGAAAATAAATGAAAATGAAATATCAAACTTCTAAGCTTGTGAGACTAGGAAAATAGTGATACTGGCTGACAGAAATAAAGGCATCGGAAAGGAATTAGGTTTCGAAAAGTCAAGAGACAACAGGATGTTCAGGTTCATTCAACAAATATTGACTGCCAGCACTATTGTAGAGGCTAAGGATATAGTGGAGAATAATATAGGCAAAAACTCTTTGCTCTTGTGGACTTTATATTTATAGACAGTTGGGATTTGGTAGGGAGAAAAAGGTAAAGATAAGACATTCACATAAAGATGAGTAAAAGTTATCAGATCAGAAAGCAGTTTTCAAAGACTTTGAAGTTACTGAGGACTTAATCTTGGGCAAGCTATATGGGGACAAAAGAAAGGAATGCCTAAGGACATGATCTGATCGTATCACAGTACAGAAATCACACCAAGTCCCATTGTCAGAGTAGTCCATCGGAATTTCCCTCAAGAGAGTTCTGGGAAAAAAGGTTAATAGAAAATGAATCTAGAATTAGAGACGACTTGAAGACAGTCTAGAATTACCTTAGCCATCACAGGAATGTTACAGCACTGTCCTATAGTAGATGCTCTGGAAATAGGTGGTAATATTCACAATTTATATTTAGATACATTTCAAAGTAATATTATTTGCATTATTTAAGAGTAACAGTATCAACATATTTATGGGTTATTGAGGCACAGTAGAGAGAATAATAAGCTTAAGGTTACATAACAAATTGTGGTCAGGTTAAAAATTTGAACTTACTGTTTCCGTTAGATACTGCAAGTTATTCATAATGCTATTATTTTTTTCAGTTTACATATCATACATTCAGCAAAATAATTTTAAGCATACGAGTATGCCTTCTCGTACTATGAGCCTGACTCCTTAAGGGAAGTTCATGGAAAAGAAAGAAAGCAGATGCTGAAATAATTTGATTAATGTCATTCAACCAATTTTCCTTAAGTAGTAATTTTAAGTAGATGGTTTAGATTTTTCTCTCTGCGTGATTGGCTTCTGAATGATTTACTAGAGATGCTTCATGCTGATAATTTCTTGGGTCAACACAAAAAAGTCCACTGGTATGGTTTCGTCATTTGAATGTGTATTTAATTTCAGGAAAACAAGATTTAAAAGGTAAGAAATGCTCTCTGTAACAAAATTTAATTTCTTCCCATCATCTTATAAAGACGTTACAAATGGTTAAGTTACTGGACCTTCTTATCTCGTATTTGTTTTCTAAATACAAATTAGGACATTGGCCAAGCTTTTCCCCTGTGGGATATTCAAAAGTTAGTTAAGAAAAACCTATAGTTTAATAATTACTATCATTTGCGGTGCCACGCATTGTTCACACTGGTACACGTGTACTCTTGGCATACATAGAAAAAAAAAGAGAGATATTATCCTTACGCCCATTTCGCAGATGAGGAAACTGTGGGCTGGGGGGGGGGGGAGTGAAAGAGCTTGCTTTATATGCACGCAGCTTCTTGCACCAAGAGCTGGGATCTAGTTCTCACACAGAAGGTTCCAGAAAGCAAAAACCTCCCAAGCCACTTTGCTTTTAGGTCCTTCTGAAAGAAAGGGATATGGAGTTTCGTGGCAGAACTCTGTAAGTAATATAGTTGCTAGCTCTTGTTCTAATGCTTGGTCATCTGGCAGATTGGCCATTTACAGTGCCCTAAACTCCGCCCGGCCACCCACGCCCTCTCGCTTCCGGCTTTCTCCAACCACCACGCCCTGCTCTATTTCTTCTAAACTCCGCTCCTCCCTGGCACTACGTCTCCCCGCTCTGCCCCCAACGCCTGGCAGTAAACTGCTCAGGCTCAGCGAAGCCGAATCACCCAGGAGCCACACCCCCAGAGGTCTGCCTCGGTGTCGCCCTGACGTAATCCTTGCGCAGTCGCCATTGGGCAAGGGGCGGGGCCGCAGGGCAGGCAGCCTGGCTGGCCGGGGGTGGGGCCGGCTCCAGGGTCCGGCTCCTGGGTCCGGCTCTGGGCCTCCGCGGCCATCGCAGCTTGCGCGGTTCCTTCCCCTCACTGGCTGCCACTCTCCCGGGGCCGAGTGGAGCTGGGTGGCATCGGCAGCCTCGCCCAGAAGGGCCCCGTGGCTTTAGGGGCTGGGCCTTCAGCGCAGCACAATGTCAGGCTCCACAACAGCTCTCTGAGTCCGAGGCCGCGGCCGTGGCGCTGTGAGGCGGCAGGGCCAGCCAGGTCTGCTCATGGTGCCACCACGAAGCCATCGTGGGGCAGGAAGGCCAGGTAGGTAGGCAGAGGAGGGCCCTGAAATCAACAGGGGCCAAAACTGGGTGGGACGGAGTGGCCACCAGCAGCCCCACCCCCAGCCCTTGGTGACAGCCACAGTACCTAGACCAAAATGGTAACGGTCTGTAGGGGCGGAGTAGGGGGGAAGCTGACAGGGGCGTGCGAGTCTGGTCCAGACTCTGGCGGTTGAAGTACTCCTGCGCCGCTGCTTTAGGACTTTAACTCACACCCCGGGAGGCGTCACTGGCTTAACAGTTTTTTTTTTTCCTCCAAAAACGGAGGAGGATTCCCTTTAACAGCTGTTTCCTCCCTGCTCTCGTGAATCGTGATTTCGGTCTAAAATATCTAGATATAGTTAGTGACAGGGTTAGTTAGGTGTAGGAGGGTGTAGGATCTTTCCCCTTTGCCACGTAGGTGATTGAAAACGTGCTCCCCAGACTCGGAACAAATTACTTCCTCTCAGTCGAATCCCACTCGAGATCAGGGACTGAAAAAACACTTAGAAACAGCCGCGTGTGTAGACACTGCCCGGGGATGGATTCCTCTGGTGAGAGAGTGAAGGGAGTTCTGTATTTTCGAGTAATTAGTTAGTTTTATATATGCAATTTGTGGAATGTTGGCTTTTTCCCCTCTGTAACGTGTACGTCTCTGAATATAATTTGAAGTCTTGAGAGTACTGTCAGTTATGCTTAACACACTTTAGTATTGTTCTTTCATTTGTGTTCATTTTAAAGATGAGTAAAAAAGATGTGATGAATCTTATTTTAAGCTCTTCACCTCCGATTAGGTTCGTTGAGTTCTTCACCTCCGTTTAGACACAGATCTGCCAAGTTTTCAGGTATTACCCTTGAAGATCTCAGAAACGCCTTTAAAACAAGGTAAATTCTGCACCTTTTAATTATACTATGTGACTTTCAAACTTAATTTGTTAGGTAATTAGCTAACAAATGTCAGCTATCTCTGTTATATGGATTTTCTCATTTTTATGGTGATTTTAAAAATCTTCTCTGCATTTTCTAAAAAACAGACTGCAAATGGTGTGTGTATTTATCATGAACCGAATGAACTCTCAGAGCAATAGTTTCACTCAGCGCAGGCGAATGGCTCTGGGGATTGTTATTCTCCTCCTTGTTGATGTGATATGGGTCGCATCCTCAGAACTTACTTCGGTATGTAGTCCTTGTCTTGGAATGTCCTTGCATTATAATAATATTCCTGTTCATCTACTGTATCTCTAGTCATTACTGTCTCCCATGCTTACCTAAAGCAGTATTTTGAATATTGTTGAATTATTTGTTTTCTTTCATATTGGATTAGGGTCAATTTGTTGAAACTGAAAGGATATTGCTTGTTGTTTCGAACAGCTTTCTTGTATCTTTTAGGGGTAGTTATTTAGAAAGTAAGTTATACACATATTTTCTTAATATTGGGAGGTGCACCTGTTTTTTTCTTTTTTTCCTAAATTCAGTTTCATTCTCTATAAATACTGTTTTCTAGAAGAACAACCATCTAGGCTGCAAAACCATTTGTCCATTTAGTAGAAAGTAAGAATTCTTTTGCACAAAGAGTGAAAGTGACCAGAGTGTTCATGTACAGGTCACTATTGTGCACATGCATGATTGCACACACATTTTTCTGTGTACTGATTCAAACATATTGTAAAAGTACAGTGAATGCCTTTAATTGTTTTATGATGTCTTTGTTGATGACCTATTGGTAGTAATGTGCTATTTTGAATTAACAACTCAGTTTTTCTTTCTACTTGTGTAGTTATTTTTTCTTTTTGTTTAGTGATTCCTATAAAAAGAAAAGCACTTTTAATTTCATAAATTACTGCATTTAAATTTAGGGATAATATGTAAAAGTAAACTAGCATTTATAAAATGGCCTTAATTATCAAAGAAGCAGTTTATACTGCGGGGTCATCTCATAGCATAGTTAAGTAAACAGTTGGCATTGACATTGTACCAATGCAGAAATATTTAGTCCTTTTGTAAGTAGGCTCTGGAACATAACAGGCCATTTATTTTTAACTCTTCTCTAACCTTTCATACTTCTACAACCTTTTTTTTAAAATTAATATTCTGTGGTGTAAATAAAAATAAATCTCTTTAATGTTGACAGAAAAATAAGCCTATCTTTAAAATTTTATTTTAGTTTTAAAGTTTGGTTTTTATTTACCAAGCAATAACATTTATGACAAAAGAGCACCTGATTAAATTATAATTTAGCAATTCCTATCTAAGCAAAGAAAAAGAATTTGCCCCTATTTTAAAAAAGTAAAATCTCTTACTCAGAGGATATTTTATAATTTCACTATCCAATAGCATATGTAATGTATCTAATTCTCTAGCCAAAAATGCTTATCAAACTTTTGAGATTAATTGTATATTTAAAAAAATCAATCTTTCCGTTATGGAAAATATATAATATATACAAAGTAGAGAGAGTAGTATAATGAATTTTTATATGCCCATCACTTACAACAATTACCAATTTTGCTAATCTTATTAACCCTTCCCCATTTTTTTCCTGGAGTATTTGAAAGCAAGTTCTAGCTAGTTGTAATCTCATGTAAAAATTTTTTTATATTCATCTCAAACTGAAAAGGACTTTTAATTTTTTTAAATATAATCATCCATTAGCATCTCTAACAAAATTAATTATAATTTCTTAAATATGGTAGTCTATATTTAAATTTCTTTGGTTGTGTTAAGGATATCTTTAGTTTAATATCTAAACACGATCATACATTGCATCTGTTATAACTTTTTAAAAGACTTTATTTATTTTTAGAGAGGGGGAAGGGAGGGAGAAAGGGAGGGAGAGAAACATCAGTGTGTGGTTGCCTCTCATGTGCCCCCTACTGGGGACCTGGCTTGTAGCCCAGGCATGTGCCCTGACTGGGAACTGAACCAGTGACCCTTTGGTCCTCAAGGCCAGCAGTCAGTACAATGAACCACACCAGCCGGGGCCACTTATTATAACTTTTAAGTCACTTTTATTATTTTCCTGCCCTGCCCTGCCCCACCTTTATTATACCATTGATTTGTTGGAGAAATGATATTTTTCATGTGGGATAGACCACATGGTCTTAGTCTATTTGAGGTGCTTCAGCAAGACTACCATAGACTGAGTGACTCAAATAACATTTATTTCTCACAATTCTGGAGACTGAAAAGTCCCAGATCAAGGCACAGGCTGATTCTATGTCTGGTGTAGAGCCTCTTACTAGTTCTTAGATGGCAGCTTTCTCCTCACAAGGTGGAAGGGGTGGGAAATTTGGGATTCTCTTTTGTGTGCTATTAGTCTTTTTCATGAGGCCTTTACCTACAGGCCCTAACTCCTAATACCACTACATTGAGGGTTAGTTGACATTTTAACATATGAATTTTGGGGGAACCCAAACATTTAGTCCCTCACACACACCTTCTGGATTTGACTGATTGCTTCCTTGGAGTGTCATTCAACTTAATCATTTTTCTCTTTTATTCCTTGTACATAGAACCTCAGTTCTTGAACGTAATTCATTCCAGAAGGCTATTTGAGAAGCAATTTGTTCGAAAACTGAATCATTTTTTTCTATTATAAATAATGTATGAATTAATCTGTTCCAGACCTCCAAATGACTCCATTTTAACATTTCTCATCAAATATACTGTTTAATCTATAAACAAATACTTTAAAAACAAAAAGGACATGAAATGTAAGTGAACATTTAACAAATATAGGAAATGAATTGCTCAGTAAGAAGTGAAAATTTATGTACACACTTAATGTGTACATAACTTACGTTTAATGTTGAGAGCTATTGATGACTGAATATGGAGTAAGAGGGGAGGAATGGAAGGCTGTTATTGTTTAGAAGAGGAGGCCCTTTCCATAAAAATATCATATAGCTGTTTTTCTGGGGTTCTTTCTCTGTTTTTGTTTCTTTGCTCTACTAGAACTTGCTTTGGGCTCCCAGGCTTCTCTGCCTCACTAAAAACCCATCCAGTGATTGTTTTTGCCTGTGTTTTTTTTATTGCTGTTCAACTACAGTTGTCTCCATTTTTACCCCACCATGCCCCCTCCCCCAACCCATCCCCATCTCCCACCCTCAAACCCACCCTTTTGGGCTTTGTCCATGTGTCCTTCACACATGTTCCTTGAGGCCTGTCCCCTCATTATCCCTCTTCCTTTTCCTCCCTGATCATTGTCAGTTTGTTCTTCATTTCAGTATCTCTGGTTGTATTTTGCTTTCTTGTTTGTTTTGTCAATTAGGTTCCACTTACAGGTTTAACACTTGCCTGAAGTAAAACATTGATTGCATTGTCATTCAAAAAGTTTATGTCACGGCTTGCTATTTCCTTGTCAGGGTGATATTTCTCAATAAAACTTTGTATTTCTCTCCATTTCCCAAGCATTTCCTTGATTAGTGAAATAGGAATATCTTCCCTTTCTCCTTTTTCTACCCTGTCACTTGCAAAATTTGAACAAATTAAGTTCAAGAACTGAGATTCTCCTGTATCAGCCTATAAGTGTTGTCAAGAGCTGAAGTTTTATTCAACACACAAGATATTTTTTCCATGAACAACTTGGTCAAGAAACAAAGTGTAAGAAATGGGAGATGTTTGAGAACCAAGGTTTGATTGTAAAATGGTAGTTAGAAATAAAGTCTTAATTTGATTCAGTTCAGTATTTAGTAAAAAGTAGCCTTGGTGGTACTGGGCACTTCCTATCATATCACATGATATGGCACATAATAGCTGCAAGTCTTGCTTTGGGTAGTGCCAATTTGAGAACTATAAAGTTACTTACCAACCAGTAGGTAATAGTTGAATATCCTTATGATTATTGCCTATATAGAGTATTTCATTAGGAGTGGTAAAGTGGTAAGTTTTCTGATGGTCATTCTTTAGCTGGAAAGGAATTCTTGAAGGAGAATTTCTCTACAACTACTCTTTGGTTATCCTGAAACATGATTAATATAGGAAAGGCTGTATACATCTTGATTCTTTTCCTCTATTTATTTGAGTAATGTTGCTTACTAAACTTCCAGTAGTCACAATTGAGGGGTTTTTTTAGTATCATTATAAATTCATGAATTTTTGTATAGTTGAAGTTTCAAACAATTGTAGTTATTTCTTTTGATGCTTAAACTGTCCTGTCTTTAACATCTCATTTGCTTTCTGGCACAAGGTACTCCAGGCTTATCTGGTACATTTTCTACCTTATAGTTGGATGTAGTCATTTCTTCAATAACACATGGTTTCTTTGATGCAAAATGGTTCAGATCACTATATGGATTCTAGAGATGCTCATTACTCCAAGGTTGTCATTTTGGGAGGTCTTTCAGTACATATAACTAGGAAAAAATTTAAAGATTTTATTTCTTTATTTTTAGAGAGAGAGGAAGGGAAGGAGAAAGAGAGGGAGAGAAACATCAGTGTGTGGTTGTCTCTCATGCACCCCCTACTGTAGACGTGGCCTACAACCCAGGCATGTGCCCTGACTGAGAATAGAACTGGCAACCCTTTGGTTTGCAGGCCAGTGCTCAATCCACTGAACTATACCAGGGCAGAAATTTTTTTAGGACAGAAAAAAATCATGAATTCATACCGATTTCTGGTTTTATGCAATTTCCTAATAACGTTAAATTTCATGCAGTTTTCTTCACACAACATAGTGTTTCATTGCCTTTTACTCTGTTTGAGCTAACTATTCAAACAGCTGAAGAATAGCTGCTCTTAAAATTTCATAATCTCCATAATCTTCAAAATAGTCTGTCTCTCTTTGGTACTTCCATGGTACCCTCCATACCCTTATCATGGTACTTAGCACATTATACTATGTACTCTCCGTGTACATATCTCCTTTCAGGAAGATATGTACATGGAGATATGTCTTTTTTGTTGTTGTTAGCTCCTAGCGTAAATACTGTTGCATAGTACATTTTCAGTAATGTTGAAGAGAACTCTTTTTGCAAGTTGTCCCTGCTTTGTTTGGGTAAATTATCCATTTTATGCAAAGCAAATACAATATTCAGAAATGAATCGAAAATATTTTATAGTCCCTTTGGAACCTGCTTTTCCAAATGAACTTCTAGAATTGAAAATCATCTAATAGCCTTGTTTTATTAGAGATAAGTAAAAGGTTCAAAGTCATCTCATAGTTTATATAACTTTTTTCTCTACAGTATGTTTTTACTCAGTACAACAAACCATTCTTCAGCACCTTTGCAAAAACATCTATGTTTGTTTTGTACCTTTTGGGCTTTATTATTTGGAAGCCATGGAGACAACAGTGTACAAGAGGATTTCGAGGAAAGCATGCTGCTTTTGTGAGTTTTTAATTTTAAGTGTTTGTTGAAGAGAGGGTATATTTTTTCAAAATTTAAAGATGTGTTAGTTTCTTGAAGGGCAGCTCAATTTTAAGTGGTTTGGTTAAGTGAGTGAACATAGCATGTTATAAGAAAAACCTACTTTTTTCCAAAATTTTAATTGTAGTCTTTTAATCACTTTGGTGTCAGAATATCTTGTGAGAAATCAGAGGTACATAATCTCCTTTTTCTTACCCCATGACATTCTCTGAGTTATTAAAAATTTTTGAACTGGCCCAAATCAAAATAATATGGAGAAGATGATAAAGGCAAGGAAAAGAAGAATATCTGGATCTTTGATCTTTTGTACAGTGGAGGACTATCATCTAATTGGTTGTAAAGTTGACTGTAGAAGCAAAATCATTCCAGGTTTATCTATTAAAGTGAAAATAGCATATTTCAGGGTGTGTTTCAGGTATTTGGCTAATTAATCAAATTATATTCTTTCAGTGATGTAACATAACATGCTGATAGAAATAGAAACTGAATTTTTGAGAATGAAGAATATAAAATTCTGTTACTGAGATGAAATCTCTCAGCCTTAATTTCTTTAAAATGAAGATGATAATACCTCCCTTGCTTGGTTGAATACTTGACATTAGCTGCTATTATTATTAATAATAGTTATATTTTTATAGGCCTACTCTGGATTTTTGATTCTATTCTTTTGAGCTTTGACTAACACTAGTCCTACTTTGTAACATGAGTTTAATTGGATTTTTGTCTTGTTATCAATAGTTTGCAGATGCTGAAAATTATTTTGCTGCTTGCACAACAGATACAACTATGAATAGTTCTTTGGTAAGTGCTTCTTTTCTCCTCAGGAATGGAGCACATGGAATTGAGTCACAGTGGGAAGGACTGAAATAGCTTTGATAATACCACAGCTATGTTAGAATATGTATATATATGTATGTGTGTGTTTGTGTGTGTATAAAACAATATTGGGTGCCCTCTGTGATTATTTTAGTTTGGTACTCCCTTTCCTTAGGGTTACTTTGGGCCAGAAAAGTAGCCACCATGGGGAGCAAGGGGAGGGGAAATAGGTAAGGAGTGAAAATAGTAAAGGACAGTCCATCGTCCTTTGTTTCTTACCAACTCTATCACTTAATGTTTATTATTATTATGGTTATCACTTAGAAACAAATGTATTTGCTTGACACTGAGAATATAAAAGCAGATTTTTCATTTATCCCATCAATTTTTAAGAGTGCTTAATATGTATTAGCACTTGCTTTTGACTGTAGAAATACAGCTTATGCTCTAGAGTGTGAGAGCATATGTTTGGAAAGGAGGAGACAGGTAATCAACAAGCAAAGTAATTAATATATTCACTTATTTTGGGCATGTATAATCTTATTGGAGAGGTAGTATATCTAAATCTATTCTTTTTAGACCATTACTAAAACATTTCTTTTTAATGTATTTTTCAACATATAGTATTCTGAGAAGAATTTAAAAGTTACTTTAAAATTTAATACCAGTTTATGAAGCACTAGCTGGGTGATCTTATTGACAGTACAGTTTTTTGTTTGTTTGGCTTCTACAACTGCATTTGTATGCCAGGTAGGTAACCAGGTGCTGTGAAGAGTTTGTGAAGCTCCGAGAAAATGTCATTTCTTTTCTCTGGAATCTAAGCATCAACAAGATTATTATCAGTTGTCTCTTTCATTGTAGAAGGTGCAGCTGAGATGGCTGCCTACTCTTCTAACTTCTACTAATTTCTTGCTACCATCTGTAAGATGATATGTCATATTGTTTTAGGTCAAATGGTGTAATGAAAAGTTCAGTGTAACAAAGAGACTGTCTATTTCCAGGTCCTGTCATGTCTTCATTTACTGAATATTTTTCACTGGTGGAGTTCTATACCAGGAGTTAAAAGACAAATCAAAGATATATAACACAATGTTGTGTTAATTTAAGAAACAGCATAGTTGGAGCATTGTTTAAGTGTAGATCATCTGAAGAATATTTGTAAAAACAGTTGAGCAATTTAGAACCACTTGAAAATATAGACCTTTAGAATAAACCTGGCTTTAATTCTGTTGTCTACCAATGGGTTATTATATCTCAGCTTCTAGAAAAGTTACTTTAAAACACCATTTTATAAAGTTGTTACAAGGTCTAATGAGAAATGTGTGTTTAACTGGTCTGGATTTGGTACTTGGTACATAATAAGAATTGGTGAGTGATAGCTATTGTTTTCTTATCTATTAGTCCTATAAAAGTTTTCAGGAATTTTTGGTTTTAGTTGAAACTTAGGTGAAGAGGAGTCATTTTTGCAAATATATATATATGTATGTATTTATTATATAGGTGATTACCTATTCCTTGTCCGCCTTTTCCTTCAGACTACATGATAGCTGAAGACAGAGGCTTTGTCTTTATGTACTTTTTATATACCCAGGACCTAGGATAGCACCTGGCACAGTGGGACTCAATATGTATTTGTTAATATAATGAATGAAAAGGAATGGGAGGTCATGTGTTAGTTGAGAGAGAGGTCTGCTTTTATGACATTTAAATGTGATGTGTTGTAATGCGCCAATGCTGTATTGTTATATTTATAAGCTTTAAACTGATTCTTTTCTGTTATTGTTTCTGTGTGGATCACCTGAGTTTCACTTTTAAGTCTTGAAAATGTATATTGTGGAAATTACACTATACAAACATGGGGGTGTATGGCCGTGTTTTGGGTAGTATCTGTGCCTATATACTATCCACTTAAATTTTAGCCAATATATCAGCTATAACATTTTTGTTTATATATATTTTCTGTTTTTATGTTTCAGAGTGAACCTCTGTATGTTCCTGTGAAATTTCATGATCTGCCCAGTGAAAAACCTGAGAACGCAAGTATTGATGCTGAAAAAAGTATGCAGAACTTAGAATTTCATATCTTAGAAATGGGCAGAAATCTTAGCTTCATTCAAGCCATCCCAAAACTTAGTGATTTTGAGATCACCTAGCAGTTCTTCTGTTCCACATGTTATTGGCTTGGCCAGTAGTCTTCCTGAAGTTTGACTAGAAGATGGAAATAATGTTCAAATATCAGAAGTCTCTAAGCTTTCATTTTATACACACACACACACACATAAATTTTTTAAAAGAATATTCTCTTCAACCATGCCATCAAAAAACCTGGTAGTAAACTACAGGAATTTTGCTGCTTCTGTCAATTGAGTAAAGTGCACCAGCCTCAACATTAGGCACAGTATTTATCTATACCATTCTCTTGCAAGGAATGGACCTATAGAGGAGGAATCGTCTACATGATTGACTGGAAAGTAATTCTCATAAATCGAGTATCTATGAGGAAGAATCCAAAGTTTTACTATAAATGCTAAAATAATAATCATACTGTAATCCTGAATTAGGCAGTTGTATATAGAAACAGTTGCAGAAATCTTGTTGCAGTATTGGTCTTACTTTAAGCCTTTAAAAGATTTTTATAGATTAAAACATTACTGTTTTGTATGAGCAAGCTGCCCCAGGTAATGCTCTAACTCTGGTTTTTCTTTGAATCTTCAAGTCTGATCATAGATGGATTAAATAATATGCATTTATCAGTAAATTAAAGCTTGTGACTTCTGTTGGGTGCAAGGGGAAGCATTTAATAATTTGTACTATACTTTTTCTCTTAAGCTCCCAAAAAGTCTCGTGTAAGGTTCAGTAATATCATGGAGATTCGACAGCTTCCATCAAGCCATGCATTGGAGGCTAAGTTGTCTCGTATGTCATATCCTACTGTGAAAGAACAAGAATCCTTACTCAAAACTGTGGGGAAACTTACTGCAACTCAAGTAGCAAAAATTAGCTTTTTCTTCTGCTTTGTGGTAGGTCTTCTTTTTATTGTATGTTTGGAACTTGAATTTTAAGACAGTATACATACCAACTATACAACTGAAGTGTAAGATCTTTAAGTTGCTTACTTATGACTTTAAACTCTGTTATGTTGCATCATTGGGGAATTAGAGTATTGAACTTAATAAATGCTTGTCATACCTCAAAGAATTTAATAAATATTTTAGCACTACAGCTACTCATATCTATTCAGAATTGGACCTTGCCTCATGGTCAGAGTAATGAATAGAGTTATTTTACACCATATACAAGGGCTAGTAAATATCCAGATAAGAGTTTACTATATGTATTGATTTCTTCAAATAGTGTTTCACAGTTTTACATTAAATTCATGTAAATATGGTTAAATACTTTAGCAAGTACTCATAGTAAACATTTTAATGGAATTTTTAGTAATACCATAACTTCTCTTATTTTAATATAAAAACTGAAAATGGGCTTTAGATTTTATAAAGAATGATCATATAGTAAATAAAATATTATTTGGGGTTAAGCTGGAGTTAGAGACTTGTCTGAATTTGTGAAATCTCTGAAGTTTAGAATTTTTAAAATATGTATACATATTTTATATATATATATTTTTAAGTAGCCTAGTCCAATTTTATTTAGTATGAGCCTTTAAGATTTAATTACACTGAACACTTTTAAACATTCAATATTGCAGTGCTGATGTCAATGTTATTAGCCTAATTATAAGGTTTTTACCTCACAATCTGCCTCTCATGCTTACTGCATTGCCTGTTTTTCTTGATCCTCTCTCTGCCTGAATGACCTTTTTTAAAGTGATACAGTGATTAATTATATTCACCAATACAAATCAAAAAACCTTTGGAAATCAAAATATGATACTTATGTATTAAAATTAATTTAAAGGCTCATATATTTTGATTTCACTATTATGATTTCTTTTTGCTTGTTTAAATGAGTGTAAAGCAAGACTAGGATTTGTATATAACCTAACTTTTAAAGGAAACTTGAGCGAAAACATAATAAAAAGATTTAAACAGTAAAAGTTAAAAAAAGTAGGGGGAGGTAAGAGCCAGATTAAATGGGTAATGTGTCTGGGTGGGGAGGGGGTTGGCCTGTGGAGGAAGCTGGCTATAGAATGGGATAACGTGTATTAGGAACTTTGGCTTAAAGGAAGAAAGCTATTTCAGGTGAGCACACAATTTATCTGTAGGCAAATTGACAAGAAGGCAAAAAGGAAAACTTCCTGAGTCACACAACTTACTGTCTATTAAAAGGGAGTACCAGTCATGGGATAAAGTAAACTTTTTCCTAATTCAAAATTCCAAGAGAATATACTGAGGCACAATTCTGTGTAGCACATTCACAGATAGATACGTGCAGATAATAGTCTTTTAAAAATATTGTGGTAAAATATGCATACCATAAAATTTACCATCTTAACCATTTTTAAGTGTACAGTTTAGTGGCATTAAGTACATTAACATTGTTCTGCAGCCATCACCACCATCCACCTACAGCACTTTTTTTTGTCTTACGAAACAAACTCTATACCCATTCAATGGTAACAACCCTTTCCAACCTCCCCCATCCTCTGACAGCTACCATTCTACTTTCCATGTCTATGAATTTGACTTTCCTAAATACCTCATGTGTGTGGAATTATACAGTATTTTTTTCTTTTGTGACTAGCTTATATCACTAAGCATAATGTCCTTGTAGCATGTGTGAGATTTTCCTTCCATGACTAATATTCTATTGCATGTATATACCACATTTTGTTTATTCATTTGTTTGTTGATATGTGTAGGGTTGTTTCCACCTGTAAAAGTCTTTTTTTAAAAAAAATCAACCTTAAATAATTTGTAAGAGCAGAGAGGTATGATAGTTTTTAGTAAAGGCATTTCTGTAGAAAGTTAGAGTAATGTAGTCCAAGTCCAAGTCCAAGCTTTTTTGGAAACCTTACTTAATGAAGTTATAAGGTGAGATGAGGCCTAGAGCAGTGTGGTTCAATAGAATAATGTCAGCCTCAAACGTAGGTGACATATGTATTTTTAAGTTTTCTAGTGGACAAGTTAAAAAAAGAAACAAGGAAAGTTAATTTTAATACTATATTTTTATTTAACCCACCATATAAAAATCATTGATGATAGAATTCTTTTTTGTACTAAAATTGTAAGCATTTCAATTTATATTTAATTTTCATTTTAGTAATTTCAGTTTCAGTTTCTACTTTTTATTATTGGGGCAACATTGGTTAATAAGATTACTTAAGTTTCAAGTGTACATTTCCATTATATCTGGATATTGCATTGTATACCTACCACCCAGAGTCAGATTTTCTTTTCTTACCACATATTTGGCCTATTTTTCCTTTATACCCCCCAAATCCCCTTCTGTCTGGTAACCACCATACTTGGTTGTCTGTGTCTGTGAGTTCAGTTTTATATCCCACATATTAGTGAAATCATATGCCTCTTAGCTTTTTCTGACTGACTTATTTTGCTTAGCATAATATACTCAAGGTCCATCCATGTGGCAGTATTTCATGTTTTCTTATACCTGAGTAGTATTCCATAGTATATATGTACCATATCTTTTTTTATCCAATCATCTGCAAAGGGCATTTTGGTTGTCTCCATACCTTAACCACTGTGAATAATGCTGCAGTGAACATAGGGCTGCACATATGTCTTTGTGAATAAATGTTTTTGAGATTTTAAGGTAGATAATCTAGAAGAGAGATTGCTGAGTCATATGGTTACTCTATTCTAATTTTTGGAGGAGCTGCCAGACTGTTTTTCATAATGATTGTACCAGTTTACATTCCCAACAGCAGTGATAGAGGTCCCTTTCTCTCTACCTCTCTAACACTTGTTATTACCTATCTTTTTTATTAATAGCCATTCTAACAGGTGTGAGTGGTATCTCATTGTAGCATTTTCTTAATAGCTACTGAAGTTGAACATCTTTTCATAGATGTGTTGGCCATTTTATCTCTTCTTGGGAGAAATGTTCAGGTCCTCTGCCTATTTTTTTTAACTTTTTTCTTAAGATTTTATTTATTTATCTTTAAAGGGGAAGGAAAGAGAGAGGGAGAGAAATATCAATGTATGGTTGCCTCTCGTACGTCCCCTATTGGGAACTGGCCTGCAACTCAGGCATGTGCCCTGACTGGGAATTGAACCATAATCCCTCAGTTCACAGGCCTGTGCTCAATTCACTGAGCTACACCAGCCAGGGCCTCTGCCTATTTTTTAATTGGATTATTGGTTTGGTACTGAGTTGTATAAGTTCTTTGTATATTTTGGATATTAATTCTTTGTGGGGGCTATTGTTTGCAAATATTATCTCTCATTTGGTTGGTTGCCTTTTTGTTTTATTGGCATTTTCTTTTCCTGTGCAGACGCTTTTTAGTTTAATATAGTCCCATTAATTTATTTTTGCCTTTATTTCCCCTGCCTTTGGGGTCAAATCTGTAAAATGTTCCCTTTGACCAAGGTCCATAAGTTTAGTACCCATGTTTTCTTCTATGCAGTTTCAGATCTTATATTTAGGTCTTTAATCCATAATTTCTATGTATGGGGATAAACCATAATCTAGTTTAATTCTTTTCCATGTGGCATTCCAGTTTTTTCAGCACCATTTATTGAAGAGGCTTTCTTTTCTTCATTGGGTATTTTGGCTCTTTTGTTAAAAATTATTTGGCCATATACATGTGGGCTTTCAGTTCTGTTCCATTGTTCTGTGTATCTGTTTATCTGCCAATACTATTCTGTATTGATGATTATAGCTTTGTAGTTAAAGTCAGGTAGTGTGATAGCTCCAGCTTTGTTCTTTTTTTCTCAGGATTGCTTTGGCTGTTTGGAGTCTTCTATGGTTCCATGCGAATCCGCTGATATTTTGTTCTATTTATTTAAAAAATGACATTGGAATTTTGATTATATTAAAGCTGTATATTGCTTTGGGTAATATGTTCATTCTAACTATGTTGACTCTTTCAATCCATGAACATGGAACATCTTTCCACTTCAGCATGTCTTTTTCATCTCTTAATAATGCTTTGTAGTTTCAGTATATAAGTCCTACACAACTTCTGTTAAGTGTATTCCTAGGTATTTTATTCTTTTTGTTGCAGTTGCAAAAGGATTCTTTTCTCATTTCTTTTTCTGAAGTGTCAATTTTAGTGTATAGGTAAGCAGTGGATTTTTGTGCATTGACTTTTGTATCCTGAAACATTACTGTATTTGTTTATTGTTTCTAATAGTTTTTTGTAGAGTCCTTAGGGTTTTCTATGTATGGAATCATGTTATCTGTAGAAGTGACACTTTTACTTCTTCATTCTCAATTTGGATGCCTTTTTTCTTTCTCTTGCCTGACTGACATATTTCTTGGCTAGGATTTCCAAAACTATGCTGAATGAGAGTGATGAGAGTGGGTATCCTTGTCTTGTTCCTGGTTTTGGAGGAAGAGCTTTCGGTTTCTCACCACTGAATATGATATAGGCTGAGGGTTTGTCATATGTAGCCTTTATTATGTTGAGGTACTTTCCCTCTATACCCATCTTACTGAGTGTTTTAAACATAAATGGATGTTGTATCTTATCAAATGCTTTTTCTGCATCTATTGATAAGATTATATTATTTCTGCCCTTTGTTTTGTTAATGTGGTATATTACAATGAACTACTTGCATATGTTGAACCATCCTTGTGCCCCTGGAATGAACCCCCCTTTCTATCATGTTGTATTATTTTTTAAATGTATTGTTATTTTTGATTCGCTAGTATCTTTTTTTAGGATTTTTACATATGTGTTCATCAGAGATATTAGTCTTTAGTTTTCCTTTTTTGTTATCCTTGACAGGTTTTGGTATCAGGATTATTTTGGGCTCATAAAATATGCTAAGAAGTATTGCCTCTTTAATTTTTTGGAAGAGTTTAAGAATAATAGGTATCAAGTCTTTATTGAATGTTTGGTAGAATTCACTAGTGAAGTCATCTGGTC